GACACAGGGCCCAGCTGGGGCAGGTGGCCACAGAAAGACCATTGATGCCAAGTTGGCAAACTCAAGCTCTCTTCTCTCCTCTGCTACCCCGCCCACCCTGCTCCTTCTAGAAGCTTCTGGGGGGGGGGCTGTTTCCCCACGTGGATCATGAGGAGCTCGAGTTAGATCTCCCAGGGCCCACCCAGCTCCGACAGCCCAGGATCCTTTCACTCACTAAGTCAATCAAGGGTCCATGTTGTAGCAGGTGCTGGGGATCTAACTGAGCAGAAGAACGGCCTTGCGGAGCTGGCTGCCTAGCAGGAAGACAAGGATGATTGAAAAGGTTCCAGCCTGCTGCGGCCCCGGAGCAGGGGAGCACAGGCGGGCTTGGGAGAGGGCAAACCTGCACATCTGGGGGCAGGGGAGGTGTTAGAGGTGAATGGGAGCACCGGCACCGCGGCTCACTAGGCTAATCCTCCGCCTAGCAGCGCCGGCACACCGGGTTCTAGTCCCGGTCGGGGCGCCGGATTCTGTCCCGGTTGCCCCTCTTCCAGGCCAGCTCTCTGCTGTGGCCTGGGAGTGCAGTGGAGGATGGCCCAAGTACTTGGGCCCTGCACCCCATGGGAGACCAGGAGAAGCACCTGGCTCCTGCCATCAAATCAGCGCGGTGCGCCGGCCGCGGCGGCCATTGGAGGGTGAACCAACGGCAAAGGAAGACCTTTCTCTGTCTCTCTCACTGTCCACTCTGCCTGTCAAAAAATAAAAAAGAGGTGAATGGGAGCAGGAGCGGTGAGAGAGGTCTGAGTCCACCTCATGGAGAGGGGGAGAAAGTTCACACACACACACACACACACACACACGGCAGCCCTGCCAAGCAGCTCAGAGCGACCCCGGAAGCACACAGCACACACAGCGAATGCGGCGAGACCACACACAGTCGACCCGAATCCGATCCTCTTGTCCAACCCCAGGAGGGAAGCTGTGCCCCTTAAGAGAGTCCGTTGGGAGAACCGACTTCCGGGCATCACTCAGCAGCCACCCACACTCCCAAACATCATCTTTGATCAGCCAATCCTCAGCCAACCTCAGGGGGCCACGTGGCTCAAGAAAAAGCCACCAGCCACTCCGTAAGACGGGCAAGTGACAGTCGGCGTGCGCCACGGGCAGCAGCTGAACGCCAGGCGCCGTGGAATGGAATATTTCAACTTGCATCGCACAGCGGGCTCAGACACTGAGCCGACTCTCACGTCCAGCAAGGGGCGGGCGTCCTTCCAGATACAATCATGGCGTGTCGGTGTCTGAGTGTTCGTGAATGACAGTGTCAGTGAGGAGTAAATTAGCAAAGGGAGTGCTGGGGGAATAAATCAAGAAAGAATGGGGAAGCTTTCGTAAGCAAAAGCTGCCTTCCAGGTACATGGAAAAACACTCTCCAGTGCCCCAGTAAATAAATAATAAAAGGATACGGAAACAATACACCTTGAAAACCCTCGTCCCTCCTCTGTTCTCCTGGGCAGAAGCGGTGCCGACAGGTTTAGGCAGCCTGGGCTGCGGACCCAGCCAGCGCTTATTTATCTAATAACACGGGAGTGAATTTCAAAGAATCGGGGAGGGCATTTCAAGGAACTGCCGTGTGGGCTCTGGAAGTGTTAGTCCACCCATTGTTTCGCCCGAAGCTCCACGTTAACTCTTAAGACGCTCTGACCCTTGGCCAGACAGAAGTTTGAAGCAAGGGCTGGGGTGCCTGGGTCTCCGCTTTCTTCTTTTCCCCCCAGACAGGAAGGCTCCTGAGAACGCACACCCACGAGGAAAGCTGCAACCACGCAAGCCAATCTGCATTCTTATCACACCCGCTTCCTATTTTAAAACCACTTGAATTGCTCCGGTCCAACCAAGGGTTTCACAACGTAGCCACGACCTGGCTCGCTACACCTCCATCGCAAGCACCTGTACCTACAAAGAGGTACCAACAAAGACTAACGTGTACACACACACACACACACACACACACACACAGTCAACAACAACAAGAAACTGAATGGAAGCAATCATTTGAGAGCACAGAAATCCAGAGCTAACAGGCGCTTAGGGAGTAAGGAGAAGGATGAAGGACTTGCCCGAGGGGAGACAGCTGGCAGCCAAGACTGAGCTAGAAAAATAAAAACGGACCGGCTAGGAGAATTCACACTGCTTCAGCCAGGGCTGTCAGGGCTGGCCCAGGACTCATGGGACAACCGCCTAAGGTGGTGGAACTGGCCTTGCGTGGGTTGGGGTTGTCGGATTATCTCGTTACTGTGTCTTCACAGCCAGCCCATGAGTCGTACACGGCCATCACACCTGCTGCGGCGCAGAGCAGTCCAACAAAGGAGTGGACATTCAGGCAGCAAGCCACTGCTCCCTGGAGGCTGGCAGGCCTGGGAGTCGGCATCCAGACTCGGCAGTATCCCCCGAGTCTCCTCTGAAGGCAATGGTGGGCACTGTTGCCCCATTTTATGGACACAAAAGCCAAAGGTTTATTCTCTTCCTCGAAGACTGCCTTCATGCGCGCCAGTCCAGCACCCACAGCCTCCGTGGCTAACCACGCGCACCTGCCGTGCGTGGGGGACGGACGTGGATGGTGACAGAACACAAAGCCCAGTCCTTAGCCCACGGCCCCCATCTGCAGATGGGCAATTCTCCACCTGTGTTCACTAGACTTCCTCTTTATACACTGTCCTTACAAATCCATTAGAAAAGACAGAAGCAGCCGCAATGGCATTCCACTGAGAAGGGACTGCATGTGTCACAGGCCCTGAAAATCCACAATCGCATTCAAGCTCAGAGAGGCAAGAGGCAGCTTGGTGGGCGTCACATCCAGCCCGCTAGGGCTGTCTCCTGGATCTTTAATGAAAATGAAGACACCTGGAGAACAAGACTTTCACCTGCACTAAAACAAGAGGTTATTATCATCACCACTTAAGATCTACCTGCTATGGAGGCAGTGGGTGTTTAGCATAGTGGGCTACAGCTGCATCTGGGGCTGGCACTGTGGCGTAGCAGGTAAAGGCGCTTGTGGATGCCGGTTCGAATCCCGGCTGCTCCACTTCTGCTCCAGCTAGTGGGGGATCCCCTCCCCTGCTATCCCTGTGGGAGACCTGGATAAAGCTCCTGGATTTAGCCTGGCCTTCGCAAACATCGGGAGAGTGAGGGAGAGGGAGAGAGACAGACAGACAGACACCTGCATCCCCCATGGGAGTGCCCTGGGTTTGAGTTTTGATTCTGGCTTCTGAATCCAACTTCCTGCCAACGCAGCCCTTGACAGCAGCGACACTGGCTCAGGTAAGCAGGCTCCTGCCACCTGCGTGGGAGACCCACCTCGCGTTCCCAGCTCCCAGCTGCAGCCCTGGCCCAGCCTCAGCCATTGTGGGTACTCAGAGTGACCAAGTGGATGGGAATGCACTCTCTCAAATGGTAAATATTTTCTTACAACTCCCTGGTAGATAAGTTACAGCAAACCCACAGGACGTATTACAGTGGGACAGCACATAGCTAATGAGATCAGAAGTTCAAAATGGGCTGCACTGTGGCGGAGTGAGTTCAACTGCCACTTGCGACAACGGCATCCCACATCCTGGGTTTGAGTCCTGCGTGCTGCTCTCTGCTAATGCACCTGGAGAAAGCAGGGGCACATGGCCCAACTACTTGTGTCCCTGCTACCCACATGGGAGACCAGGCTGCAGCTCCTGGCTCCTGGCTTCAGCCTGGCCCAGCCATGGCAGTTGTAGCTATTTGGGGGGTGACCCAGAAGATAGAATACTTCTCTCTCACTCACTCTCACTCTGCCTTTCAAATAAGAAAAAAATTGAAAATATGCAGGGAAAAGTTACAAAATACACACAATGTGGCCTTTTATTACTGCAGATACACAAAATAACATCTATGTGTTGAAACAATGGAAAGCACCTATGACAAACACAATTAGCAATGGTCCTCTCTGGGTGGCGTGATTATGGGTGCTGTGTGTTTTCTCCTCCATACTATTCTGCAGTCTACACGTGATTTCCAGGTTCGTGATCATGTGTTAGAAGGACAGGTGATCCCAAGACACCCCCACATGCCCAGCCCCTTCTGGTGGAAGTGTGCCCGGGAGCAGCTGCCTGCAGGGGAGACACAGGTCCGCGTGAGCGTGAGCTTTCACCTGCGTGTACCGTGTGCCCGGCATTTCCACCTGCAATTATTCCACTCCTACGTGTGCACAGGGAAGCAGGGAAAGAACACACATTGTGCGTAATAGCAAAAGACTGGGAACTTCAAACAGCTGGGGTCCCAGCCGGGAGGACATTGCCGTGGGCTGGCTGAAACCACCTCAAGAACACGTGGTCGAAAAGAACCAGGCAAGACGCAGAACATGGCCAACGTCTGGATGGTGGGGCTTTTAAGGCTACAGTCATACTCACCTGCACCTGGGTAGGCGACCCCTGGAAGGCGCACCTGGAAAGTTAACACTAACGCTGCCCCGCAAGAGGGGACAAGGAGGGCGAGGGGGACAAGGACAGAGGACGAGGGGGACAAGGAGGACGAGGGGGACAAGGTTAGAGGACGAGGGGGACAAGGTTAGAGGACTAGGGGGATAACAGACGAGATGGCGGATGAGAGGAAAAGTGAATTTGCACGGTGTATCTGTCCTTCTGCACTGTGACTTTTTTTTTAGAATGTGTGTGTTACTAAAACACATACTTGATGAGCAGTGGTGGACAAACACCCACGGCTTTCTGTAAGCCTTTCGGTATCTATGCATGGTGTTCGCGGGCCGCAGACAGGCCCTTCCAAAATGCTGCCTGTGGCAACCAAAACCACAGCAGGAAACCAGCAGGATCCCGCCGAGCCCGGAGCCCCAGGCGGGGCCGCCTGCCCTTTCCCCTGCTCTCCGGGCCTGCCTGCGTGGACACGAGTCCATACTTTGATTCGGCCAAAGCAGGAACCCTGTGTCCTCTGACCACAAGGTGCAGTTCTCACTTGTATGCAGTAAACAAGAAGTATTTTACCTTTCAGCAAAGGCATCCAGCTTCCCCAACTCGTCGGAGAGACCCACCAGGGAGTCCAAGGTCCCCACCTAGAGAGATCATGTTAGAGGACTAGTTAGAGGACTACAGTGGTGGGGGTGGTGGGGGAGCATGCACAGTGGGGGCCGTTGGGGGGGGAAGTTCAGCATCAGCACAGGTCACTCCAATTCATCTTGAGTCACCTGCTCTTGGCCAACAGCCACGCTGGAAGTGGGGAGAACTCTTAGTGGAAATGAGTAGTTGCCAACAGATAAACTGTCACATCGCTGCCACAGGGGGTCGCCTAGGTCATGACCCCAGTGTGGCTCAAGTCCTCTTAGATGGGCGGTCCTATGTTCACCCGAGTAATCCTCACAGCTCAGAGAGACAGCAGAAAGCAAGTTCGAGAAGCGGTCATTTCTGAAAGCCCCCCTCCCACAGGAAACCCGCGAGTCTCTGCGTTCTCTGCTGCTCCTGGTAGCAGTCTGGCTGGGGGAGGGCAGCTTTGCGTTCCACTTCACCCATCAACAGGTCCCTTCTCTGCACGCGTGACTTACGACCCGCTTTTCCAGTGTGGAAGTGCTTACGGGATCCAGAATTGGCCTGCAGGGTTCTCTCACCGCACTGGAAAGCCTAACTAGGGGGTGGTAACCCCACCAGTAATTAGGGAATAATGAAGCCGCTCCTTCTCAAGCAACCAGATCTAAGGCGGCTGCAGCAGAGACCAGGGCTGTTTTCATCCCTGTGCCCCTCGGAGGCCAGCACAGCGCCCCGCACCTGGAAAACGATGGGCGGCAGCTGAACTTGGCATTTGCCGCGCCTGCCCGAACAAACAGCGCCAGCTTCAAAAGGCAGCCGGGTTTGGGTTCAAAATCTGCTGCTGCCCCTGGCCGGCTCGGCCACCCTGATCACCATTCAGCTCCCCTCAGCCTGCCCCAATCCAGTGAGTGGGAGCTGGGATGATGCCAGGCGATGCCGTGAAAGGACCGGCGGGGCAACACCAGGGAGCTGCCGTAACTGCCGGCAGACGGGCAGACCCAGGCCTGAGCCAGGAAGATCCGGCCGTGGTCTCCTGGGCTTTGGCACCACCTGCGCCTCTTCCCCCACCCCCGCCCCCAGTGCACTGCACCTGCATGGCGGTGGGGGGCACACTCCAGGCCCCAGGCACCTGCATACAATCTTCAGAAGCCCACTCTTTGTGAAGTGAGAGGACTGTCCGCACGTTGCCTCTCTACGCACGTCTACACTACAGGCAGGTGTTCCTAGAGGGTGCCGATGTAACAGAACCCCAGGCCCAGCGCGGGTGATGTCTTGGCACTTCGGGAAGCATTAGGAGCTGTCCCCCACGACCTTCTCCCCAGCTTCACCCTCGGAAGCCGGTGGTTCCAGTCCACGGGGGCCACAGTAAATGCAGGGCCACAGCAAGTGGGGAGACCACAGGCTCCCAGTGGCTCCTGGACACCCACATCCCTGCCCTGTTATCTTGCAGGCGGGATTCCGCGCCCTCTCCATCACCCCCTCCAGCCCCCATCACCCGCCGCCTCCTCCCCAGGACTCGTACCTTGAAGTCCGGAATGGCGAATTTCGTATTGTAGGACAGGTTGGACTTGGAGGTCACCGTATTCAACCTCTCCAAGGCTTGCAAATTCTCCTTATCGCCAGGGGCAGAAATTAACCAAAACTCAGACATGTTCGCCGTCTTCTCCTATCCAGTCACTGGCCGGATCCCAGGCGCACACAGACAGGGACAGAGCGGGAATGCGTCAGAGAGCCCTTGCCATCACCCCGCGCCGCGCCGCGCGCCCCTCTGCGGCCTCCCCTCTGACCTCCCAGCGCGGCCACTGGAGCGCCAAGGACAGCCAGGGGTTCAAAGCACCGAGCTTATCTCGGCCCGGATGCCCTCGGAGCTCCTCCACCTGGGGGCGGCTGGGACTGGAATGAAGGCGCAGGGGAGGAGAGGCGGGTCCTCACCCGCTCCCCGCTCCCGCGCGCAGCACGGCCTGGGCACCCTGCGGCCGTCCGCCGTGCCCCGGGGCCCCACGCGGGCCGGGGTGAGAGGAGCTACGGGGGTCACGCCTGAGCGCCAGGCCAAGCCCCGGGGCCTAAGCGGCCACCCGCAGATGCGTATCGGACCCACAAACACACTTCGGACGCCCGCGTCCCCCTTCAGAGCGGGGAGCCGCAGGGGCCGCTTCGGTCTCCGTCCGTGGGGCGAGCCGTGCGCCCCGCGCCGCAGCCCGCGCGTGCGGCTCCTTCAGACGCACGCTCCACGCACCGCGCCCCTCCCCGGCGCGGCTCCGGACGGAAAACAGGAGCGAGAAGCGGCGGAGGCAACTTTCCCCTTCGCATGCCCGGGCTCCCTCCAACCCGAGAACCCCGCAGCCCAAACGCAGCCGCCTTCCGAACCGACTGCCCCGCCGACGGCCTGGGGACCACGGGCCTGCGGCGCGGCTGCGGAGATGCCACCTGCCGGGTCCTCGGAGCGCGCGGCGTGGGTGCCGGACGCCGCCGACCAGGGAGAACGCGCGGGCGCCGGTGGACGCGGGGTCGCCCAGCGCGCCCCCACCTAGTCGCGGCTCCGAGGCCCCGCGGCCCGGCCCCCACCCGGCTCGCAGCTCCACTGCGCCGCGCGTCCTTACCCGGAGCGGCGGGCGCGGGGCCGGAACGCACGGCCAGCTCCGGGGAGGCAGCGACTTCTGCGGCCCCGCACGCCCCGCCCCGCTTTTTATCCCGGGCGCGGGAGGCGGCCCCGGCCCCGCCGGTCATTTGCATACGGGCCGCCCGCCTCCCGCGTCGGGCCCAGCTGGGACCCGGGCGCCGTGCGGCCGGCGGCGGGAGGGGACGTGCAGCCCACGTGCTGGGCTCCAGGGCTTCCCTGAGACCCTGCGCGACCCCGCCCCAGGGAGCCGCGGCGGGGTGCGGACGACGCACGCCAGGCAGAGGCCGGGGGAGGGGCGCGGGCGCGGGTCCCTCGGGAATCACCTGTTGGCGGGCGTAGCCGAGGCCCGGGCACGAGACGGAGTTGCCCTGTGCAAAGCGACGCAGCAGGTTCCCGGCGTTGAGGAACGCACCTGTTGGGAGGAGCGGAGCTCTTCCTGTCGGCGTAGGCGCGGGTCGCCCCCGTGGCCCGGGAAACTCCCGCCCCGCCGCGCCCTGGTCCTGCGGGGCTCGGGGTCGCTGGCGTCTGCAGTCGAAAGTGGGAAGCCCAGACATCAGTGGGTGCTCATCGCATGCGAGACAAAACCCGAAATTACCGCGGGGCGGGGCGCCGCGGCATCCCCGTGCGCGCCGCCGCCGGCCGGTGGCTTCCCGACGAGGTCGCGGTCTCCGGGCCGCGCCCCGAGCTGGGCGTGGCTCTCTGAGGATGGACTCTCCTGACCGCCCGGCGTCCGAGCTTTCGAATGCGCTCAGGTCCCGAAGGCGTGGCGGGGCGCAGGGTGGGGGACGCGAAGCCCCCGGCCCAGGACGGCCGGCGGCTCAGAAGTCAGAGGTGACGGTGCTGCGGCTCCGTGGCGGACCTGCACCTGCGCCGCGCGTTGGCTGCGGGGCCGAGGGCGTGCATTAGTCAGCTGGCCCTTGCAACACCTTTCTGGGGGAGGACACCTGAAACCGAGCCCAGGGAGGGAGCGGCCGGTGTGACCGGGAAGCTGAGTGGTCCCTCTGGGACCTTGGCGCGTGCCGCTGTATCCAGCCCGGAGAAACAAGCGTGGAGCTGAGGGCGGATCTTAATGGCAAACGCCTCGGGTGGCCACAGGCGTGCAATAGTGCCGGGTCACACCTGGCCAAGCTCCAGGTGGAACCCAGGCCGGTGTCCCGGTCGGTGGACGTTCCTCCGGCTCCCGAGTTCAGATCCCCAGACCTGGTCCCTCCCGGACGGCCAGCACGTAGACCAGCCTCTCGGAGTTTGCTGATGGCCCTCTGCTGCCTACCACCCCAGTTCCCTCATACAATAAGACACAGGAACTCCTGGAAACCTGATTAAGGAGACACAAAGACACGGGGTTCCCTGTCTGCCCCCGAATCTTCCTACACGAAATCAGATTCTTTCTCCTCTTCTCTGGGTTCTCTGTGAGGATCTGAACAGTGGAGGATTCCACAGCTGCAAGGCTTGCGAGATATTTTCCAAATAACTCTTTTTTTCCTGATGATAAAGGTAATTCTACACTTCTTATCAAGAATTTGGAAACCAGAAAATTATGCAGAAGGAAGTAAAAATAGCCTGTACTTTCGTGATCTGAAAATAACCACAGTTGCCATGCAAATTCTCTGTGTGACTTGTTACTACATATTCATGTATATGGCTGTGTGCTTTTTTGCATGATTGAGATTATATATGTATAAGAAAGTCTGGCATCGTGCTGTTGATGGTGTCTTCAAGATTAAAAAGAAGTTAACAAAGGTATCTTATCAGTGCAGGCCAAGCCCTGTTACCAGACATTTATGGCAGCTCAGAACTTGAGTCAGATTTCAGAGCCAAATAAAGACACCTTGTTGGACAACCTACACTTTTTTTTTTTTAAAGATTCATTTATTTATTTGAAAGGCAGAGTTACAGAGAAGCAGAGGCAGGGAGAGAGAGAGAGAGTTCTTCCGTCTACTGGTTCACTCCCCTAATGGCCGCAAGGGCTGGAGCTGCACCGATCCGAAGCCAGGAGCCAGAAGCTTCTTCCATGTGGGTGCAGGGGCCCAAGGACTTGGGCCATCTTCTACTGCTTTCCCAGGCCACAGCAGAGAGCTGGATCGGAAGTGGAGCAGCCGGGACTCGAACCAGCACCCATATGGGATGCTGGCACTGCAGATAGTGGCTTTACCCACTAAGCCACGCTGCTGGCCCCACAACTTAAAGAGCGAGAGGAAGAGAGAGACCAAGTCTTGCCCACAAGGTTTCTGATCGGCAGTTCTCAAAGGTGACAACATATGCAATTATCAGTTTTAAGCTGATCGGTGCTTTTCTCTCCCTTTCCCCTATAAAGTGAGATCAACAGAGAAATTGCAAGAAATCAGCAGAAATTTGTGGCACCTGTGGCCTTGCTATCTTAGAAGAATATGATACTATAGCATCCTCACCCTGGGTCACAATCCCGAACACTCTGAATTTGCGTGCCTTGATCGCCACTGTTAAAATGCTTCCGGATTATTAAAACAAACAAATAAAAAAGAACCCAGGTCACCATGAACCACCTCTCCTTGGACTAAAGGCAGGGGAGCAGATGCCAGCTGCCTTGAATCACCACGAGCTGCTGAGCTTGGCCTTGGTTAGGTAGACCCTAAATGTGTCCACAGCTGGCCCGAGCCTTGCACTGAGCCAGCAAGGTCTGTGCCGAGATGGAAGAGCGCCGCCGGGTTTGGAGACCAGAGGACGAGGCTGGCCATGCCCGGACCACCCCGGAGGCTTCTGGGACTTTGCACTTCCTCCCTGAGACGGCCCTCGGAGGATGCTCTTTCGAGCTTAGCACAGGCGTGCTGGCACCTCGCTGGCTCACGTGCGTTTTTCCTGGCTCTGCTGAGATGAACCCAGGGAGGTTTTCTAAAGAGACAGCGCTCCAGTCAGGAGAAATGTTAGCAGAACGGTCCCAGGGCGGTGTAAGAACAGAGCAGGCATTGGGACCGGACAATGGGAGAAGCTGGTCACCCTCGCAGAGGCTCCGGCTTGCTGTCCAAGGAAAAGGGTGCAGCCATGCCCGCGTTCACGGCTCCTGTGAGGAATGGAGCTCAAAGTGAGGTGCCCCTCGCCTCCTGCTCTCCGACTCGCTAGATTGCACATGCTCAGTGTGGCACCACATGACAATTATACATTAAAAAAAAAAAAATTCCCAAGGGCCCAAAATACTTTGATCTATCTTTCCTCTTTCAGCCAAAAAAAAAAAAAAAAAAAAAAAAGCCCTGTGGTCATAAGACAGGCATCAAGCATCATGGTTGTCACTTTTTGTCAGAGAAAATCCAGCCAAGGAATTCTCTGGATGTGTTTGCCCGCGTGCACACAGCTAAGGAGAAGCCCCCCTCAGCTGACAAGGACCCCTGCCCCCACCCACGTCTGCAAGGCACTGCAGGGTATGCAGGAAGAAATGGAAAAGTAAAACAGGGAGCACAAGAGCAAGCAGTCCCAGCTCACTAAGGCATGAACACAAACACCAGGCAGGATGTGCCCGCCGCACAAACATGAGACAGAAACACTCAAGAAATGCCATGAGCCTCATTTCACAGATGAGGAAGCAGCCTGGAGTGGAGCACGCACCCTGACCAGGGGCACGGCCAAGGGCACACCTGGCACTGGCGTTCCAGTTCTCCCCCTCCAGGCTCCTGGGGCTCCGCTGCCCGTCCGCACGCCTCCTGCAGTCCCAGCCCGGGCCCTTCCGCTTGCTCGCGGCGTGAGCACACTTGCATCTCTTAATGTCAGCAGACTTCTTGTAGAATGTGCCACGCCCAAGGTGTCCCGGGGCCAGTTCCCATTCCACCACCACTGAAGGTGAGCTCCCAGTGTTGGCCGCCGCAGAGACCCCGTCGTCCTTGTAGCTTGCACTCCTGCTGTTTGTCCTTGCCAAGTTCCTCTTTGTCCCCCCAGGGAGTTTGTGGAAGGTTCTAGCTCTGCCCTGCTGTCGACAGCTGGCACACTTGTCACCCCTGCTGTCCGTCACTTCAGATCTTTGATGTGGTTGACCTGTAGGTCACCAAGGCCTTGGGTGGAACTCAGTGAGTAGGAGGGATCCCGGGTCCCAAGATCCAAGCCCTGCACTGGAGAAAGAAGCGAAAAGGGAAAATCGAAGGTGGCTAGTGCTCTTCATGTGTGTTACATATTTATTGTTTGAGAGAGAGAGAAAGGGGGAAAAAAAAAAAAAAAACCCTTCCTCCAGTTTACTCCTCCAATGCCTGCATCTCCCAGGGGGACAACAAAAGCTGGGAGCAGAACTCAGTCTGGGTGCCCCGCATGGGCATCCCATATGGGCGCCGGGTTCTAGTCCTGGCTGCTCCTCTTCCGGTCCAGCTCTCTGCTATGGCCCGAGAGGGCAGTGGAGGATGGCTCAAGTGCTTGGGAGTGCATGGGAGACCAGAAGGAAGCACCTGGCTCCTGGCTTCGGATCGGCACTGCGCCGGCCATAGCAGCCATCTGGGGAGTGAACCAACGGAAGGAAGACCTTTCTCTCTGTCTCTCTCTCTCACTGTCTATAACTCTGCCTGTCAAATATCAAATAAATACAAAAAGAAAGATTTTAAAAGAGATTATTGCTGGATAGTGGGATTATAGATGTTCTCACTTTTTTTTAAAAGATTTATTTATTTATTTGAAAAGCAGAGTGACAGAGAGAGAGAGAGAGATATCAATCTTCCATCCACTGGTTCTCTCCTCAAATGTTTGCAATGGCTAAGCTAGATTAGGCTGAAGCCAGGAGCTGGGGTCTTCATCCAGGTTTCCCACATGGGTAGCCTGGGCCCAAGCACTTGGGCCTCCTTTCACTGCTTTCCCAGGTGTGTTAGCAAGGAGCTGGATCAGAAGTGGAACAGCTGGGACTAGAACCAGCGATCTTAGGGAATGCCCATGTGGAGTTGCAGGTGGTAGCTTAACCCACTGTGCCACAATGCCGGCCCCAGATGTTCCCTTTCTGTAAACTTGTAACTTGTCTATGTTTTCATAATGAACAAGTCACTTTTTTTTTTTTGACAGGCAGAGTGGACAGTGAGAGAGAGAGACAGAGAGAAAGGTCTTCCTTTGCCCTCCAATGGCCGCCGCGGCGCAGCATGCTGATCCAAAGGCAGGAGCCAGGTGCTTCTCCTGGTCTCCCATGGGGTGCAGGGCCCAAGCACCTGGGCCATCCTCCACTGCACTCCCTGGCCACAGCAGAGAGCTGGCCTGGAAGAGGGGCAACCGGGACAGAATCCGGCGCCCCGACCGGGACTAGAACCCGGTGTACCAGCGCCGCAAGGCGGAGGATTAGCCTAGTGAGCCGTGGCGCCGGCCTACAAACTTTTCAAATACCTGTGACTGTACCTAAAACGTGATAAATCTCTACCTAAAATCCTATGATAGATACATGAACTCAACAAGTCTTCCTGATTCAACATCATTTCCAAGATGTTTTACTTTTAAATCTTGAGTGAATCAGGCCGGATGTGATTAGTTAAGGAGTTCAGGGTGGTGTGTTACTGCACCTGGGGGAGGCCCTGCATCCAATATCTAGTGTCCCCCTAAGAGGAGGGGACGCACAGACTTGCAGGGAGGGAGGCTACGTGAAGGCAGAGGCAGAGATGGGAGTGATCCAGCTACAGTGCCAAATGTCGCTGGTGGAAGCCGCCAAGAGCTAGGAGGAGGCAAGGAAGCATTCCTCCCCAGAGCCGCCCGAGGACGCTCGGCCCTGCCAGCCCCTGGACTTGGGGCTTCCCCCCCGGAACCGTGAGGGAGTGGATTTCTGTGCGAAGTCGCCAGTCTGTGGTCATTGGTGGAGACAGCTCTGGGAGACCAGCAGGTCATGGCCTGCGCTGCCGAGAGTCCTCCAGCAGGTCCCCACCACGCTGAGCAAACCCCAGGACCC